GGTTATTCAACTGTATATATAAAACCTAAAAACTTATTTCGTTTCATATCCTCCACTTGCAAAATTTTAAAAGGCTTAGCAATCTACATCAAGTAGCAACTGAGTACAAAGGTCGTAACTAGAATAGATAATTGTTTGCTTTATTTCTTTATTTGCTCCTCTATGTTTTAAGAAAAATAAGTTTAAGAACTTATTTCTAAATAATAATAATCTATATACATAATGTGTGATAATGGAAATGTGACTGTATTTTACAAAATACTAGTCTACAAAAACACAGCCAAGACAGGTCACTTTGTAAAGACTAAAGGTCAGTTTTATATTATTGGATATGGTAACATGAGTGCACGTGTGCCACGTCATTGTAACTTCTATATTGTTAGCCAGGCATGGTTGAAAGGTCAATATAATAAAAATAATAAATATATATAAATGTATAATGTTATGAGATTTAAGATATTTCATTTAAATATTTATGTTTTTGTGTTATAATTTGTGTTCATTCTAGAATGAAAGAGGCATAATTTCTGTTTATTTCCTAATTTTTTATGGTGGTTGCAAGATCAGTCAAATTTACCAAACCTGTACAGAGATTAGTTACTGAAAATAACAGATAAAATATAAAGTTTTTTCTTAAGAAATGTTTGATAACTATCTGGACATCATAAAGATTTTGCATGTGAAGTTTAAATTTTCTGATGCACAAAAGTATTTTTAATCTTAAAATGAAAATTACTTTTCATGTTGGACAGGCAACATGCAAAAAGAAAAAATAGACATGAAAACAAACATTGCTTTACAAACCTTAAGACTTAATAAAATAATTTGATATTTTGGGTATGAAAGCATTGTAATGTTTATTGATAATCTGCCAAATTTTGTTAACATACGCTTACTAATTTAAAAGTTATAGCATGAAAACTATAACAAACATAACATGGTTATGGTAGGTAACTGCAGAATATTCTTATGACTTAAATCTGTATTGAATATTGTTTCTATATCAATCCCTATCAACAATATACGTAAATAAATTGGCTAACTGACTTAATTATTTCCAATTGCAACTGTGACATGTTGTAAATAAAACTTTATTATTCTTTTCAGTGATAGTATAACATTTTCTTTATTAAACTATCAATTTATTTTGATTTAGAGAAGATCAATGCAGGATTCTGCACATTTTAAAAACAAACATAATAGTGACCATGTTGTGGTACTTATTTGACATTGGGTATTTTTGCCAAGTAGGAAATATCTAAATTATCTTTAGAATAAAATTGTGGCAAAATACGCAAATGATGACCTTCAAAATGGGTCTGTCGTATGAAACAAGGAGTAATTTGAAAATTACATAAGAAAAAATAACTTCTATGTTAGAATAATGTAATTATGAAAGTTGCACACATCTTTTTTTTTTGCTTGTTTGCTTATATGAGTATGTGAATAAGAGGCATGTACTAATCAATTAATTAAATGATTTAATTAACTAATGAGCCCATCAATTAATCACTTAGTAAATATCACTTATTGCCTAGCTCTATAAGAAAAGGTGTACTATTAGTCACATTTATTTATTAACAACATTACTAATTAACCAAACATATGCCTTGGATAAAGGCATTAGACAAATTAATTAATATTAATAGAAACAGTTATAAACAAAATTAGAGTAACAGTAACAATTTAGTTAGAAAATAAATATAGATCTTCAATTTTAACAAAAGTTAAAGAAGAGAGAGAGAGAGAGTGGTAAGAAGTGCATCCATTATTTGAAATAATACTTTTCTTATGTTTTGTACACTAGGCATTCAGCTACTTTATACTTCACCAATTTACAGAAAGGGTTTGTACGTATAAAATTTTCATAGTATGTGTGTTTTTTTTTTTAATACAGCAACTTTTGTTTAAGTAATGAACATTATGCAAATCAGAAGATTGAATTTGACATTTAATGTGTGATTATTATTCAAACGTTTTTGAACAGTTTCTGTTAACAAGACAAGGCAAATCTGGCACTGCTCGAATGCCACCCAATGAACTTTTGATTGGCAGAACTATCTTCAACCTCATGGCTTGCGAACAACCCTTTCAACCTTCAAATACAACCCTACTTTATTTTAAACCACAGAAATCTGGTCACCTTAAAACTTTAAAGTTTTTTAGATAAAATATATCTTTTAACCATAATTTTATGTTGCTGTTTTGTAATGATGTGAATACTATTTTGTTTGTGCTTTATTTATTGCTTAGTAAAAAAAATTGTTTAAATGTGTTTCCAGATGGCTTGCTAAAGATTTGCAAAGAAGAAGGAGTGGGAGAACTTTGGAGTGGAACATTGCCTTCTCTGATGTTGATCATTAACCCAGCAGTTCAGTTTATGGTATATGAAGGATTAAAACGTGAATTTTTACACTCGCAAGATACTAAGGTAAAATAGTGGTTACAGTGCAATTCATGTGTAAGATTAAAATGTGAAGTTTAAGATCACTAAATACTAAGGTAAGATGGAGGTTACATTGCAGTTTATGGTGTACAAGCTGATGTACCTCTGCTTTGTCCAGGTTATGAACTTAAAAAATTGGAGTGGATACTTTGATAAATAACACAAAAATCCTAACTTTCACACAGTTTATTTATAACATAATATATTATTACAGTATTCATTATTACCTCATCAAAAGTTTTGTATGTGCTTTAATAATTCACTATGTATATACTTAAAATATGGTATACACTGTGCGATGGTCAAAATGACTTTGTAGGAAGAAGTAGTGGCCAAAGTGGTAGCGGTAGGAGTACTTTCTGTTACCCAATTTCAACACCCAGCTCTTAATGTCCTTCTACAGTGTTTCATATGATTAATTAATTGACTGCCATTTGCCTCAGAAGTGTCTTATGGGTCAAAGTTGAAAGGTCACGAGTCAAAATAGGAAGTGGGTATAACTCAAGAAATGGGTCTTCATATAAGCTTTATTGTGGCTGTTGGAGTAGAAACTTCAGCGGAGTTTATGTATTATTGCAATAGCAGCAGATATTGTTTTTCATTCCATTCCTCCATAGAGAGTGCTTGTGCACTCTGTTATTTTTGTGTGCCTTCACCGCCACACTGTGTGAAAATGTAATTAAGTTTTTTGTTTTGGTGTAAGGACGTTGCACCAGCTATGAATATAGTTACCATAAACTTACGTAAAAGATAATAAATGCCCAATAACAGCAATAATGGGGGATGGAGGAGGTTGTGAACCCCCTTTAACATGGCCTTTGTTCCAAACTTGTTCGAAGTTTGTTTGAGATTGTCCTAGCAACTTAGGAGTAACTACGTAATGGACAGACACACAGAGTTTTGGGCTTTATATATATATAGATTAAGAATTCAAACATGAAATTAAGATTATATTTAAATTAACAAATAACTTCCTCATTTGTGGCACATTGAATATTCTCTTTGGTTATTTGTATTGTACAATAACACGTGCTAGTTTCTACTGATAGGTACAAAACTTGTTTAATAAGCATATTGGTGTAATACCTTTTTTAAAATAGTTTAATGAATATGGCTATACACCAGATAAAACCTAAACATTAATTATTATTAGTTTGGATGATAGCCTTATAAGTCACTTGGACAATGTTATTTATTCATTAAATGTCACAATGCCTCAACCTGTTTCTGATACTTAAATGTTACATGTCCAATGGCTATATCATATACTAAAATTTTAGTAATAAAAATTATTTTAATAATAAGTAAAATATATTTGTTTTCTGAGGAATACAATCATTGTGTATTTATAAATTGCTCAGAAAAAATTTGGCTTTGTATGTTAAACACACACACACACACACACACACAAATATATCCATAAAGGTTATTAAAAGATTCCCTGAACATTGTGTGTTTGTATGTATTTAAGCACATCTGATCCAAAACATAACTTAGTGTAAAATCTGTAGTTTTAACGTGCAACACAAAAGGATTAATATGTATGGTAAGTACGTGTTAAATTATAAATCATTTGATAACAGCACAAAATTATTTAGCTTATACTGGTGTGTAAGGAAAACATATTAAATGTAGTTATTTTAATGACATTTGACACTAGAAGTATCATTTTCTAAGACAGAATTATTAGTTTTCTGAAACAAGCTGAAAAGTATGTTATAAAAATGGCAATAAAAGTAAGGTTAAAGTTTGGAAAATTTATCCATTAATTTCAAAACCTGTAGCCTCTTTTTTTTAGCATAGTGCCCAAGATGACCAGTTTACTGTCTTAGTTTTTCTCTAGCATATTAAGAATAGGGCTTTGCATTGTCTGGTGGTTAGGATGCTCGACTTGCAATCTGAGGGTCACGAGTCTGAATCACCATTACAGAATATGCTTGTCCTATATGGTTGCCAACTGGACTAGCCACCTGGGTGTAAAAATTCATGACTTACATATTATTGGCCGACTTCAAACTGTTGAGATTAAGGTCATCAAGGGAAAAAAAAGTATATTAAGAAGTTACATAACTATCCAGACTACAAAAATAGTGTTAAAAGAATAGTATTGACTATATTTTGATGCCTTAAATTATTATTGCAGTATGTTCCTCATGAAAGTGCCGTAAAGTTTTCATTGTTATTACATCAGATAGATTGAATGTGTGCTTATGATCCATTTCAGTGCTTCAGACCTGTTTGAGGTAAAACAAAAAAACAAGTCAACTGATGCTCCTATATTGCTAATTATCTAAAAACTTCTTGTTCCAGAATCTAAGTAGCACCACCATATTCTTGATTGGTGCCATAGCCAAGAGCATCTCCACAGTCTTAACCTATCCTCTTCAAATAGTTCAATCAAAACTAAGGGTAAGCTATGTTGAAATTGTAAATTCTCTCTCTTATTAACAAATATATTTTAAGGTTTTTTAAAGACTGTTATATCAATGTCAAAAGCAAGTGGCTCCATTTGTTCTTAATTTGGTCCAATGATCCTTTAACCTTATGAAAAGTGTTAGTGTTGAAGCATTAAATTTTCAAAGGTATTTCTGACTGAATTGATTTTAAATAAAGAATACAAGTCAAAGTATTAAATAGGAAAGGTTGTCATTGATAAAAGGAAAAAACTATTTAAATAAAACAGTAAAATAAATCTGTGTTTTACAGTATATAAATTGTATTTGTTTATGAAAAGATATAATAAGCTATATCATAAAAACATTTTCACACTTACAATATTATGTGTAGAATAACACATCTAACATAGCATTAGTTAGACAATAGTTCATAGTGTATCTTCTCCATTCAGTGTAACTGTCTCAATTGACATAACTGTTTTATTCTATTACATGTATATATTAAAAAACTAAAGTATAAGCTCATAAATGTTACTCTGACATTTTTTACTGTTATTTTTTTTCTTGCTGCAATTAAGGAAAAACTATTTTAGTAACATGATGACAGCCAGTGTATCACCAGTGATACATTTAGCATTGATACTTATTGTGCCATTGTATCACTGGCGATGTATTCAGACTATATTTCACCTTGTATGAAACTGATTTGGCATGCAGGGAATAATCTTTATCTTGTCCATTGGTGTCTAGTTTAAGATAAAAACTAAGCATTATGTTGCATGTATCATTGGTGACACATTTGGCATGAATGTGAAGTTACTTTGCTAAAATGATTTGATATTAAGGTGAGATGTTTATAAAAAGCAATTAAACAAAACGTTTTATTGCATAGAAACTTAATACAAGCATAAAAAAAGAAAGGTAAACTAAAGTTTCAATTTCATGCATAATGAAAACATATAATACAAAAATTAAAGTTAAAACAAAGAAGCATTTTGCATAAGAATACAGAATTACTATAATGAAATGATAGAAAAATTAGTTTATGTTTATGAAACTCTTGGAAGTGTTCTAAGCAAAAAAAAAAGGCCTGTTTGGGCAATAAGTGCATTGGGTGGAAACTAATTTTGCCATTTTTTGGCCTTTCTACTTCAGATATCTTTGAATCTTTTCTGGCAATTGTTAGATGTTCTGTATTCTGTTTGTCCTTGGTTTGTCTGTTCTTCTTGCTTTCTTTGTTGTATAGCAAGTAATAGTTCACTACAGCCACATTAAGTAGCAATTTGAAAACTACTCTGTGATACCATTGCACTGTTTTTTGAAGTGGGTTAAAGTGGCTTGCTAGTTGTCAGATAAATCAATGCCTTGTTTGCATGTACTATAATTTTGAATGATATTTGGTTTCATGATTTCTTTCCCTTTGCAATTTTTTGGTTTGTGGAGCTAAGTTTTCCATCTTCTTTGGTTGATAAGAAATATAATTTCCATTTATCTTGCAAAACCCCAATTGCTATAACATTGTTTTACTTGAGAATGCATTTCCCCTTCTTCATTTTTGTGGTATCAATAGATGAATTTTTTCTCAATGTGCTTTGAAGGTGTCTTTTTTTCTTTTTTTTTTAAAGACATTTTTGTGCCAGCTCAACTGGCATAAAAATTATTCACAGTAAGAGTTCTCCCTTCATTGAAATAGCCTTCCATTAGATTGATGCAAACATTGGTTGCCATTGGTGATCCATCACTAGTATCATCTGATTTTCCTTGGTTAACTTGTACAGTTTATGTGTAGCCTCTAAGATCAGTCAGCTTATACATTTTTATGCCATATTTATGGGCCTTCCCAGTCTTCCCCTGAATGGTGCCATGGCTTCATCAATGTCAAGATTTTTACCAGGATGCTGTATTTTTTTTAAATTACCTACATTTTCAATCTTATAAGGACTTGACCTTTGGTTTTGAGCTAACTTATTGTTTGCTGAATGAATAAATTTCAGCAAAATGTGGAATTGATTTCTGGACATCACTTTTGAACAAAACTGGTTGCTGAAAATCACATGCTTATTCCACTAATCCCATAAATATAACTAAACCAAGAAACTTTTTCATTTCATGTTTGTCTGTATCTTTCCACATCTTCAGCTTACCACTACTATTTACACGACTAGACGCTAGAACTTGGTGAGCATTGCGATTAGTTTCTTCAACAATAATACTAACTATATCATCAGTTAAAAAGAGATTGTGATATGAGCATGGGGTTTTGGCCTGTGTTTCTACCCTACACATTACAGGTGAAGAGCTTGTAAAAGTTTTCAATGAACTACCATCAACAGGGGATTTCCATTGGAAAGTAGTAGATGTCATTGCTGGATCTGTAAAAGAAGATAGAAAACTATTTTTGTTGCTTACTTACAGATGAATATGAACTGTTATCGCTGTCACTCTCTTCATTACTTTTAGGCAAATAAGATATATCCTCATCACTGTCATCCATTTCTGTTATATTTATTTCTGTAAATGAAAAAATTAAATTAAGTATACATGATTATTATAGCTTCTATAAAGTCTAGACAATATAAATGGTTTGTGTCAGTGATATATAGTGAATCTGATTTGACCAAGCACTGCCATGGTTACTTACTTATTTATGTAGGTAATATGTACTTAGCTACGTATGTAAGTACAGTAAAATGTGTAGCAGAACTATTTACAATTAATAACCTTGGCAGTGCTTGGGTAACTTAGATTCACTGCATGCCACTGGTTTGTGTTCACCTCTGATACATTGGCACGGAAATTATAAGACAACAGTATAACTGTGCATCAGTGGTGAACAAGCTATTTTTATAGTTCCAAAGGCTTACTGTACTTAAAAAACTTATTTTAATTGTCCTTGAATTAAAAAAAGTAATGTGGCTTCTGTAAATTGCATATGAAAAGTTAGAAATTTGCCACTGACAGTTAATTTGTTAATTCTGTATTATAAATTTTGAAAATGTAGCAGTAAATATCATGACCAATGGACTAGGTCTATTTGAAGAATCTCCTACTAAAAGTTGCAAAGTTCCTTTAGTTTTGTTGCTCAAGACTGAAACAACTGACTGTGAAAAGAGGGTGATAATATTCCTCCTTTTATCATTTAATTTAAAATTGAATCTTAGGATAGAGGAAAATGTATAAACATGACACAATAGTAGAATATAAGAACTTTCATTACGCATCCACAAAATATGGTAAAGATGTGGGATGTTGTGAGCTAGAGCATTCAAATCTGTTTCTTTTCTGTTTTTTTTTAAGCATGTGAGGCCAGCGATGTTGATGTTAAACTCTATAGATGGTGTAACCCCAATGCAGTTTGGGTCTTACTTCTGCCAGTACCTCAATAAACCAGTGCATAGAACATATGATTTATGCCTCGGGGGCTGGATATTTGTTTTGTGGCTGCATTTTTTTTTTTCATTTATTTATTATCTACTTACTTACTTTTCTTTCTCTATAAAATTAAATCTAATTATATATCATATAAGGTTTGGATATGCTGTGTAAAATTCATGCTATCCTCTCTTTAGATGTAACGTTTAAGAAATTATTGTCTAACTTAAGTAATTGTATATACTACAAATATTATCTAGAATTTTTGTATTGATTTATTTTCAGAAGAAATTGGATAGATATTATTATTGAACTTAATGGTTTTTGAGGTCTGGCATGACCTGGTGGTTAGGACACTGGATTTGCAATTTGAGAGTTGTGGGTTTGAATCCCGTCACCAAACATGCTCATCTTTTTAGCTATGGAGGTGTTATAATGTGACAGTTAATCCCACTATTCATTGATAATAAGTAGCCGAACAGTTTGCTGGTGGGTGTTGACTAACTGCCTTCCCTCCAGTCTATCACTTCCAAGTTAGGGACACCTAGTGCATATAGTCATTGAGTAGCTTTGCACAAAATTCAACAAACAGACAAATAATGATTTTTGAGTTTGAAAGTTGCCTATATGTTAGAAACCTTTTGTAAAAATATTCATGTTACTTTCTTAAGAATATGTTATTTTCCTTGTATTTAAAAATATTTCTCATTTCTTTTCAAGTATGGTTCAAGCACTATGAGACAACAGAGTTTTTTTCAACTGCTTATGAGTATTGTCAGGTTTGTAAAAACGTCATTCTGCTTTAATACGTGTGTTTATAAGGGAATATTTTGATTAGAACACTGAAAAATGATGGGTGAAAGAAGGTTGTAGAAATTTAAATTCAGTTAGACTGTATTCATATAATGTTTGGTTTTTCAAAAGTGATATTTGTTCTTGAGTAATTTTTGTTCCTTGGATATCATTATTTCATGGTTTCATCGGTTGTAAAGTACATGAAATAAGATTTCAGATTCGTTGAAAAATCTGTGTCATTACTTGGGATGTCAAAAAGAACCCTTACATTTACATGAGTTGGTTTAAATGTGAGAAATATTACAAATATTTCAAAATGTGTTTCAGTGTAAACGAAATGACATCCATTGACTTTGAAGTACAAAATGATGGGAATGGTGCTGAGGCAGTAACCAATTTCTTTAAAAACTTGTAGGGGACTTCTGATAAACATAAGCCAGCAATAGTGAGGAATAAAAATGCAGATACAAAGGGATCATTTTAATTTTATTAAATAGAATATCAGTTGATTTCAGAGAAATATTTCTTTCACAACCTTCCCCTACTACTTTTGAATAAACAAGATTGCTGGTTAAGTGGATTGAAAATGGAAAACCTTTTTATGAACAGGTTAATAAATGAAGTTGCCAAGTTAGGCTTATTAACTCAAGATGATAAAATTTTGTAATGTCTCTAAGTATATGAACACTTGAATCACAAAGACAGCTTTATACAATTACCAGAACTGTTTAAAAGAGATAAACCTGAACAAGGCAGGAAATAAATGTCTTTGATATTATATTATGGTATCCATTTATGTTAATTAGCCTCAACAAATATATATATGTTATGTTCAGATCAAATATGAATTTAACTCTCTGCGATATTAGAATTTAATCCATTTGTCTGATAGTGGACTACACATCAGCAGTATTAATTAACTTATTCTATTAGAATCAAAGAAGACAATATTTATTTCAGCATATCCTTTCTGAATTCAGTGGCTGTTGTTGTTTATAGATACTCAAAATATTCATACAAACCTTCCTTAAAACACCTTTACTGAGAAGTCAGATACATTGGGTTTTATAAAATAGTACATATCATGTTAATATTTTTATATTTCAAGTAAATTTATTGCTTTTTTGTTATGGTATCTGATTTCATTAATATGTAGATTTATGTCACCTTTACATCAGTAAACAGTTCATAAAATATCAGCTTTTTGTAGGAGAAATATAAAACACTTTACAGATATCAGTAATATTACCAAGAAGTTAATGTTTTTTTATTGAGTCAGACTTTCTGAGTGATGAAAACATATGCTCGGATGTGTTGCATGTAATATCACTATATTCCATTGATTTTAAGCATATTTTATTGAATGTGTGTGGTGTTTGAATTGTTCTACACTCACAATGGATAAGTTATATTTATGTAAGTACTTGAAGAAGAAATAACTCAATATTATGTGTGAGAAAAACTTACATAATTCATAATATATGTGATGCTGTCTTGAAATATTTATTCAGTTATAAACTTAACTAACTTTCACATCAAGAAATTGTAGTTTCAGTTGATTAATGTTCATCTATATTAACACTACTGATACATCAAGCTCAGCTTTTATACACAGTAACATAGATAAAAATATGAACATTACAAAAGTACAATGACAAGATTAAGCAGTTTTGTTTTCTTTTGTAGCACAAGAATATTCTCAATTACAAGCATGTTAATAACATTTTACCCTTTCTGGTTTTAGGTCAAAAGGAATAAGAGGAGTTTATAAAGGATTGGAAGCCAAGTTGTTTCAAACTGTTCTTACTGCTGCACTGATGTTTGTATGCTATGAAAAAATTGCAGTTTTTGTGTTTTATCTCTTGAAAGGACCTGTTAAAAATCACCAGTAAAATAAAGCCAGTCATAGTAGCTGTACTGTTACTGTTAGAGTCCTGGCTTGGAGTGTGGCCTTGCCACATGCATCTTTCTGTATACGAGTTGGCATTGAATGTCAGTTATGTAATTTTTAATACCATAAAACTTGAGGATTTAGGAGGTTTTCAGGCTTCTACAGAGTTTATTTATTTCTTAACTCTTTTTGTTGTGGTGTACACTCATATTTCATGGCAATATAGTGTATATTATGAAATATTTCTGTAAAAAAAGACTTGTGGGTTGAACTTTGTCTCAGTTCACATCCATTTGATTGTAGCTGAATTTGTTCCATCCTAGACTGTATTAGGAATTAATTAGGACACCCATCAAATTTGTTTTTAAAAGGCAACAGTAGTTACATACTTGAACTAGATGCAGCACATACACAAAATGGTACAAGTACTGTTACTTGTAATGAAATAACTGTATAATCATAAATACTTATGAGAAACTTAGTCTTCAAGAAGATTGTATGTAGCAATTTGTCTTATTTCTCTAGCATGGTTTACCTACAGTACCATACTTCACAGTTGATTCTAAACTATGGAGATTATACAATTTGTCTTAATTCTCTAGCACGGTTTACCTACAGTACCATACTTCACAGTTGATTCTAAACTATGGAGACTATACAATTTGTCTTAATTCTCTAGCACGGTTTACCTACAGTACCATACTTCACAGTTGATTCTAAACTATGGAGACTATACAATTTGTCTTATTTCTCTAGCACGATTTACCTACAGTACCATACTTCACAGTTGATTCTAAACTATGCAGATTATACAATTTGTCTTAATTCTCTAGCACGGTTTACCTACAGTACCATACTTCACAGTTGATTCTAAACTATGGAGACTAAATATTGTCAACAACACAAAATAAGTACTTTTAACACGCATCTCAAATTGAAGATATTGTATAATTACAAGTTTGTCTTTTGAATCTTTCATATGGCAGTATAGGGTTTGTATCTTGTTATTCACGATCTTATACTAATTACCTTGCAGCATTGCCAGTTTCAAGAGCTAATGTTAGAGAATTTTAATACATTACATCTTCTACTTTAGGAAATCACTATGACTGATTATTTGATCCTGGCAGAAGTCAGGAATGTCATCTTTGTCAGGTTAACTTAAAGAGCTATCTATGCATTTGCATTGCTGCAGAAACTTGCTTTTGAAATCCCACTTTCCTCAGTGTTGTAAGACATGTTTAAGGTACAGTACATTGATAACTTATACAACTTCTCATTCTCTGAATTGAGTTTCACTTCTTTCACTCCAATGAGTTCTGTAATTTCTACAAAACAAAAAATTTCCCAATGCCATCTTCAGAATACTGAACATCATCTTTTTTCTTTGCTAACTACTCATCAACCTATCTTTCCTTTTCCTGAGGCTGTTTTTCATCCTTGCCATCAACTTCTACCATTACATCCTGTTCCTTTACACAATTTTCTGGCTGAAACTTCAATCCCTTTTTTTTTGTTTCTGTCTCTTTGTTTCAGAATAGTGTATACACTAAAGATAATTTGCAAGTTCTGGTTCAGTTGTAGTTGTACCAGGTCCACCTGTTGCAGGTAAATAACCAATGACTTACTGTGGGTCTTGGTATACACTTTTTCTGGTTCAGTTATAGCTGTACCAGGTCCATCTGTTGCAGGTAAATAACCAATGACTTACTGTGGGTCTTGGTATACACTTTTTCTGGTTCAGTTGTAGTTGTACCAGGTCCACCTGTTGCAGGTAAATAGCCAATGACTTACTGTGGGTCTTTGTATACACTTTTTCTGGTTCAGTTGTAGCTGTACCAGGTCCACCTGTTGCAGGTAAATAACCAATGACTTACTGTGGGTGTTGGTATACACTTTTTCTGGTTCAGTTGTAGTTGTACCAGGTCCACCTGTTGCAGGTAAATAACCAATGACTTACTGTGCGTCTTGGTATACACTTTTTCAGGTTCAGTTGTAGTTATACCAGGTCCACCTATTGCAG